GCCGGTCCTCGCTGCCGCAGCCGCCTCCTAACCGGAGCCGGCAGGCAGGCCGGGCGCCGGGGGGGGCACCGGCCTCGCCGCCGCCGCGGGGAGATGGGGGGGATGGAGGAGACGGAGCTCTTCTCCCCCCCCCGCGAGTATCGCGGGTCCCCCTCTTGTGTTTATCTAATCCCCACCTCCTGTGGTGGTGAATCCCGTGTGTTCATCACTCTTTGGGTGAAGAAGTACTTTTATCTGTTCTAACCCGACTGCTCAGCAAATTTATTCAGTGCCCACGAGTTCTTGTATTGTGAGAAAGGGAGAAAAGTACTTTTCTCTACCTGCTCTGTTCCATGCATAATCTTGTGATCCTCAATCATGTCACCCCTCAGTCGTCGTTTCTCCAAGTTAAAGAGCCCCAAGTGCCTTAACGTTTCTTCATAGGGAAAGTGTTCCAACCTTTTTATCATTCTAGTTGCCCTTTTCTGCATTTTTTCCTAATGCTATAATATCCTTTTTGAGGTGTGGTGACCAGAACTGTACACAGTATTCCAAATGGGGTCACACCATTGATATATACAGGGGCATTATGATACTGGCTGATTTGTTTTCAGTTCCCTTCCTAACAATCCCCAGCATAGTGTTGGCCTTTTTTATTGCAGTTGCACACTGTCTTGACATTTTCAGTGAGTTATCTACTAAGACTCCAAGATCTCTCTCCCTTATCCTCTAAAGGTGTATCTAGTCAGGTCAGTAGGGCTTGGATGGACATAAGCCCGTGGATAAGACCACAGATGCACATTAGTAATATGCTCTAATCTTACTTAATTCATGTGACTTTGGGACATTCACATAGATCTTCAGTTGCCCGTTATTTTTATTCCTAGAAAGGTCACAATCTGCATTCAAAGCAAAATTAGGCAAATCCGTGCCCACAAAATTTGCTGGCTTTAAGCATATTTAATTCTGACTTGAACTGGGACTGTGTTTTCACCTTGAAATACAAAAGCCAGAGGGAGCCATTAACGTGTGTCCTGTGCAATTGTATGCCTGACAATCTCAATGCTGCCAATTAACTGGAGAAAATATGTGTGCATATTTTTGAACTGAATGTTTGCAAGCCTTGAAGATTAAACGAAAGGTCTAGGACAAAGTTACCCTGGCATCTATGATGTCTGCAGAACCCTTGAAGTGCTTTATTTGCCCAAAATGAACAGGGATACCACCTTTGTCTGATCTGTCAGCTCAAGAGTTGACCTTCCTGGAAATCACCTGGCAACTCTCAAACATACATCTTCATTGCAGCTCAACCAAAACTGACTACTGCTCAAACAAATACATTGGAAATAAAAGCGCAGAATCAGCCAGAGGTCCTGGCCCTGTATGCCTAGCGTTCACTGATGTGTCTGCAGAAAGCCCTGCCTAACTGAAGAGCACGGTTGGTTTTCCATGTCCATAGGGCTAGCAGAGGTGAAACCAGTTCCAAAATATGGAAGCCCTCAGGTTGCATGCCATCGACTTCCTTCACTCTGGCAAATGGCTTGTCCAGACTTTTCGTTAGTGGGAAGTACCTGTTAAAATCAGGTCTTCCCCCCGCCCACTTCCAGCCAAACTTCAATTATGGAGCCGTACCGTAATACACAGAAAAACCCCACAGCATTAATTTGTCAGTTGCGGTTGCTGATCAAAATGCTCAGTGCAGCCAGCACAAATTTAGCTTGTATTCAAGTGGGCGACTGGTTGTGCAGTGGAGGGGAAGATCTAATGCAGTGGCAAGTTGGTGACTCTCCCAAAGGGCGAGGGCCGCCTGCGCAGGGATGGGGTGTTCCTTCGGTAGCCGTAGGCTCCATTGTAGCCAAGCACAGGTTTATCTGAGCTGAGAAAGAGCTGGTGCCCCCTCACCTGTTCTGTAGAATGACCTGGGGAGAAAACCGATACAGACCAAGGTTTAGGCGAATGCAAATATGGTATAAATCTCTCATTCTCTCTATAGCCCATATATAAAATAGCTGTATAACTTGTGTTTAGCATTAGTTTACTAAACATCTGCCCTTTGAGGAGAAGGTGTCTGTTCTTGATTCATTCATTGATCTATTCACACAAATCTCCCCTTCGGTAGTAGTAAAAGATGTAAATACTACTAACAATATTTTACAATGATTCAGCTTCCAGTACTGAGGTTTAGATATCATTCCTCAAGCTTAAGGAACAATTCAACAGGGAGCTCTGCTAACCTCACTCAAATGAATGGAAGCTGAATAACAACACAGCATTCACTTGCTTAAGTTGTTAATATGAGCAGGGTTGTGCCCTGTTATTTTTGCTATAAAACCATGAAGAGTAGATGCATAGGATCGAGGAGCCCAACTTGTTATTCTGGGATTTATTCTTTGCTAGAACCAGGATTGTTCCCATATCAACCCTTTTCTCCAGTGTTGCTATTATTCATTCATCTGATCACAGCAAATCCAGAAATGTTATAAAACTTTTCAGTCCAGTGTTTTCCCTGATATCCTCCCATCATTTTAAAGTGTTGGTTTGTGGTGATACACACACCCCCCCCCGAATTTTAACCACACATGAATCCTTGCTAGATGTAGCTGTAGCTGCCTCCCTTAGCGCTGCTGTCATGGGAGCCCTTCAGCTTGCCTCCCTTGCTTTCCTCCAGAACAGTAAAGCAAGCACTAGGACTCTGACATTAACTCATGGGGGAAGAAGAGGCAGGCGACACTGAGAAGATGGCATACAGAGCCAGTGTATCGTTAGATCTCCAGGTTCAAATCGCCTCTAGAAAACAGTGGAGGTATGCCAGCCAGAGCTCCTTGAAGGAAAGGTAAGATAAAAACGTACTAAATACATAGAGTGCAGGAGTGTGCCTGATAACTTGGAGGAAGGGAGAAGGTCGGGTGGTTGCTGCTACTTGTTGGTAGGGTTGGTGGAAGAAGAGCAGCTGAGTGTGTCCAGGAAAGGCATCAGGCAGCCACAGTGAAGTTGGTAAGTGCTTGTGCATTTCCGTTCCATCCATTGTGGAATAGTGGAATAAAGCAATTTACACCTGTTTTAAAAAAATAAAATGAAAAGCAAAGAGCTCCAGTGCTGCCTAAAATTACCCTGGAAATGACTGATCCAAGGGGGAACTGCAGTTCATTCCATCCCATCATGCCAAAGAGGATGCACTCCTGAGTAAGCATAATTAGATGTTTGCTATATGGGAATGGGACATTACAGGGTTATGATAGAG